CAGGCTGGCTGGGTGTGCAACGCACAGCTTTAACCCAGAGTCCTGGCAGAGTTCCGGAGGCGATGACGCTGCAGGTGGTGATGCTGTGTGCCATCTGGTGTCCGGGTACAAGCGCGGCTGGCACCACTGTGCGGGGCCCACGCTGGTAGCAGTGCGCACCCAAGCGAGAGGGACAGCAGAGTCAGTGGGGCGGGCCTGCTGGGTTGTGGGCGGGGGAGCGGGTGATAGAGGTGGGAAGGGAAGGGAGGGCTGGGGCTGCGAAGAGGAGAAAGCGTGGGGGCGGGAGAAAGAGGGAAGCAGATCGGGGGAAAGTGGATCGCGGACCATTCGAGGGGGAGGGGCGCTTGGGGTTGGGCGGAGGAGCGCGCGAACGAGGCGGGGAGTGATAGACAGTCAGTGGCTTCCTGGGCTTGGGCCGGCAGGGGCAAGAGAGAAGGTTGGGCCCGCCGGGTCGGGCTGCTCTTTTGGGCCCCACCGCGGACACCCTACTGCTATGAACTGCTATCAAGGCACACTGGCGGTGCAATAAGGCTCGGTGGGCAAAGCCAGCGGGCGCAATGCGACGTCGGCCGAGCAGCCGACATCGCACCCAAGTGTCCACGAGGTGCGACGATCTCGAAGTGAACGCCTCGAAGTGGAAAATAAGGAACGAAGGGGCTCGTTTGGCCACGGCGAGCCTCGGCCACGAGTGGGTTCCCCGACCTACAGCAGGAGCTCGACCACAAGAAACCGCCCACAAGAAACCCGACCCTGAGACCCCAGGACGCCCATTGGCTCTTGGTGTGGGAGCGTCGCTCTCTACATCGCAAAACCATCACAAGCCCAGGAAGCCCAGGGCACCCTGGAGGCAAGCACGGTGCTTCTTGGCGTGGGCTTCCACTGCGGGCCTGAGGAACGGCCAAAAAGCCACACTCCAGATTTCGTAATAAAAAGGAGGGGGTCTGGACCCTCAAAGACAAGCCATTTCAGACCCCCCCCCGTGGGAGAACCCTCCAAAACATCGTCCCCAGACCCCCCCAGGCCCTCCAAGATAGCTTGGAAGAGACCCCCCCGAAATGAGACCCCCCTCCCTTCATTACGAAATCTGGAGTAGCCCCTCCTGGGCCCAGAGCAGTCCTTGCTCCAGCGGCCTGCCTCGTCCCGTCGGCGGCCCATGCGTTCCTTTCGCCAGGGCGTCGGGAGCGGGCCGGCCTGCACGAGGATCGCCGCCCGTGCGCCGAGGTGGGTGCTCGCGCGCGAGCCCGACCGTGCAGCTGTAGGAACAGTTTCGCCAGGCAGGCGGATGGCTTCTTTTCGTCTGACGGAGGGGAGGGCGGGCCAGATCTTCGACGAGGACGAGGAGGAGGGCGAGGAGGACGAGGAGGAGGACGAGGAGGAGGGTGAGGAGGAGGAGGAGGAGGAGGAGGACGAGGAGGAGGACGAGGAGGAGGACGAGGAGGACGAGGATGATCGAATTTGGGCCCAGGCGCTCCTCGTAGCACTCGGCCTCTGGGGCCCGCCATCGGGCCCCGGCGCCATCAGACATGGATCCAGGACGAAGCACTGCCCCCCAGGAAGCGGTCGGGACCTCTGGGGCCGCGGGTTGAAAGCATCACATCGGCGGATGTCGTCTGCCAAGCTTGTATCTGACCCTGACTCATCCTCCCCTCTTATTTCATATCCTCCGCATCCCTTCTCGTTCTTCCTGTTCGCCCACTCCCATCCATCTTCCTCCTCCTCCTCCTCCTTCTCATCCTCCTCCTCGTGATCAACGTCCCCCTCTGCTTCCAACGGGGAAGGTGGTCAGGAGGGAACAGGGAGGCGGGAGGATGGGAAGACGGGCTTCGGAGTTCCCACAAGGGTCTGCAGAATCACGTCCCCCTTCCTCGGCCACCTCCTCCTCCTCCTCCTCCTCCTCCTCCTCTGCCTCCTCCTCCTCCTCCTCCTCCTCCTCCTCCTCCTCCTCCACCCGTTCATCATCCCTCAATTCCGCCTCCTCCTCATGCTCCTTCTGCTCCTCATCCTCCTGCTCCTCCTACTCCTCCTCCTCCTCCTACTCCTCCTCCACCTCGCCCTCCTCGTTCCCCTCACCACTATCAAATCGTGCTGACACGTTGTACCCAGTGGGAAGATACTCCTTTCCTCATCCTCCCCAGCATCATCACCACCATCATGGTGACCATCGTCCTCAGGTTGCTCCTCACTTTGTTTTCGCTCTCTACCCTTCGAAGGGTCCCTGCCCTCTTCCTGCCACATCTCATGCCGTTTCCCAAAGCCTCCTCCGTCCCTCCTCTTCCTCCTCCTTCCTCCCTCCACACCTCCTCCTGACACTCCTCCCATACTCTTCCTGATCGCCAACTCCGTCTCCTCCTCCTCCTCCTCCTCCTCCTCCTCCTCCTCATCATCATCATCATCATCATCATCATCATCATCACCATCATCATCATCATCATCATCATCATCAGCATCATCATCATCATTTTCCTCCTCCTCCTACTCCTTCTCCTCCTCGGCAGCAGCA